AAACTCTCCCTGTCAGCAATATAGGAAATGTATAGAGAACAGTATGGAGAATATGCATACTGATGTATGGGTGATGGGGTGTAAAGGGTTAATAGTAATATCATGTGATCTAGTTAGCATCTGACTGGTTTAGCAGAAGGTGCAAGATAATTATACAAGGTATATCACTCAATCCTCTACTAAAAACATGTCAATGTGAGAGTAATGTAATTGAAACCACATCAACCTGAATATATTTAGAAAACTTTCTTGGGCCAATAATTATGATCACTACAATCCTACCTTCATTCGAAGGAAGATTAATGGTTTGGGTGAACTTCTTTCAACAAACTGATGAGGTTTTTCTTCAGAATCAAGGGCACGCTCATTCTTGTTAAACAGCAAGAGATAAAATCATGATAAAATTAAAACACCAAAATTATAAAGCTGGTTCTAAAAGACTTTGTAGAAAACAAATGCACCTCGTAAACATGGATTTTTTCAATCACATTTTTAAAAGAAATCAACCTTTTTGCTCATGAGTGATCAAAAATTAATTTCTTCTTACAAAAAGTGATATGATGACCAGCAGAAAGGTGATGAGAGGGAAAAACATGAAAAACTGAGGCAGATTTCAAAGCAGTTTCTCAAGGAGAAAGTTATAACTAAAAGCATGTAAAGCAGACAGTGAAGAGAATGGAGATTTTTGAGCTTGACAGTTCTTGTTATCTCACCTTCATCAACAGCTCCTGCAAGGTAATAATTGCTGGGATTACCTGTGGTGTGAAATTTTTTTAGGGCTTCTTCCTAAGAAACCATTGAAAAAAAAAAAAAAAACCAATAATGTTAAAATTTGAAGCTGCAATATATAATACCCTTTCGCTAATTAGTCTACATCAAGTACTTTGCGTACTGCAGACCCCACGGCCAAACCCTTCACCTACCTCAGCTTTTTTAGAAGTCAATTCTGGTCTTGTTTCAACTAGTTTCCACAAATACAAATTTATTGGAGTGTTACAAGTTACACCTGAGTTGCATACTCACTAGAACATTGCTGGCTTGAGCTGTCCTTGGAATCACAATGTTTTTACAATCAA